GTTATTTCTTAATTCATACAAGATTCAGGTAAAACAGAATTAATCTGTACTTTTTAAAGAGCCACTTCTCAAACCACTAGGTGGCGGCATCCATCTCTCCTCTATACCCTGTTTCCACAAGGCTTTAGTGAGTAGGCCCTTGTTTGTGTTAAATCCATTGACCACAGTGGATCCTGGGATGAGACAGTGTGGTGTATTAGGTAAGCGCTGAGGAAATGCCAGAGTGCTCATGGGAATCACCACCAAAATGCACATTTCTTACTTTATGAGCAGCACTAAGCAACAAGCCCTCTAATAATCTGCAGTGAAGCACTACACCAACCCATATGATACGTTATATTTTTGTGTACCTCATCAAAAATTTTATGAAAGGCTTTGCATTACAGTCGAGTATCTTTATTTGGCATATGTATGGAAATATTGTAAAGAAATAATTTTATTCTATTCCTCCACACTGATTGTGAAGCAGATATGTGGTTATTGGCAAATTATGGTGAAAATGTTTAGTAACACTTCATTTATCATTTCCATTGCATACAGCTGTCAAAAGTTTCTATCTGAACGGGACATGGAGACGGAAAGTTCTAACAATTGCATAGACAGAACATACTTATCTGTGATTGATTTGTCAATATTGACTTCAGCTGTGGTGTAGTCACATTGACCTGTATAGTTTGGTTGATTCACTGATTGGAGGAAACTACTGACTGCAGCCAATGAGGTCCTAGCACATTATCAGTCCAAACACATTCATTTGCCAACCAAGATCAGAGCAAACAGTATGTGAAAGCACAGCATCAAAGAATTACTGCCATGGTGGATCCAAAGAATAAGAACATATCTTGGAACATGAAAAGGGAAAAAGTAATAAGAGGCCCAGAGTTTGTCACGTCATGATTCAAATATACTGGTCTGAGTATATCAGTGTGAAACAGGAAAATATTGGTCCTAAATTTAGTCTTTTTCATGTTCTTTTTGTGTGCACTGTAAAACATTTTAAGTTGGTTCAACTTAGAAACATGAGTTCTTGCAGCCATTAGAGCCATTTTGTACTGGAGTTAGCACAGACAACATCTGAGCTCACTCCCTAGTTTTACAGATATTACTGCAGTGTACAGAGGCAGCAACTGAATTGTGATAAAGAATTTTATCTGTTCCTCTAATTACAAAAATAAAACTCCTGAGGTAGTGTGAAATTTGAACTGGTGGCAAGGAACAAATCTGCTTTCCCCAAAGACATGAATTTTATCATCTCCCCTAAGTCATAATTTGATAACTTAAAAGCTCTGATTGAAAGATAGTTAAGATATCTTTGGAAACCTTATCAGTGATAGGCCATTAATAATTAATTCAACACCATCTTCATGATCCCAAATCTTTTTACTATCCTGTCACAATCGCACACACACACACACACTTTCTCAGACAAAAAAAATAATAATTTCAGTCTATGTACAACAAAGAGCTAGTATGCCAACATCTGAGCCCATAAAAGCACCTGCTTCATGTATCACAGCTTTAGCCTGTTCAACTGAAAAGTCATGATAAGTACAGACAGAAGCCTTGAAGCAGGACGGGAAGCACAATGCATGAAGGCTGGCTCAAACAGAAACTGTGTTCTCTAAAGGGACTCATTATAAAAATCTGCACCTGCAGGTCTTGCTGACATAACTGAACTATGTGTGCTTCCTTACTGAAACAGAACAGGATGTTTCATCCTGGTGCCTATCAGATAACATTTATAGACAGCTATATATTTTTAAATCCTGTATTCCTGTTCCTTTCTACCGCCTATGTTGCATAAATGTAAAGATGACCCACCAGCACTGCGTCCTTAATGACAATTAACATAATATTTAGCGATATTACATTCTTTGTGATTTTCCCAGTGAATTCATGTCAAATTAATTTTGTTGCATTTAGGAGTTTTAGATAATCTGAAGACCAGTGTATTTTCTTCTTTCAGTAATGCAGTTCTGTCATTAACACAAAACTAAAAAGCTCAAAAGACTTAAACAATTTGAATGTTGCATGCTTTGACAAAAAAATGTTCTAGGTTAGTGTTTCTAGGTTAATGTGGTCTCAAATTATGAATAATCTTAGACCAACAAGACAAGCATTTTATGTCACCACACAACAGAATTGCTTTGAATGTTATTATTTACAGCATATTTCACTGCTGTTTTACTCTGTATAAGTGAGAGATGAGTGATCACTTTTAGTGACACTATGCAAATAGTGACCTGTGCTGACTTGGTTTAGAACAGAATACAGAGTCAGTGTGAGAAAAGAGAACTTGGTTATACATGTCAGCAGTCACATATACTCAGAATATTCAGAAATGTCCCTTTACAAACAATATTTTCAATGCTATATTTTGAAAATCCACAACATGTTTTGTGACTAGACCTTAGCAACAACTGCTTCCACTTGCAAAACTGTTTCATATAGCAGTTTAAGGAGAGGTTGTGTCAAGGATGCCTACAAAACAGTTTTCAACTGAGTGGCCTGAGGTGTGTACGAATGAATGTTCCATTACTTAAACAGAAGAGCTTTTTCATTGATAAAACTTCCACATACTTAATTAATTACTTACACTGCAGGTAAATTATCTTAATATAGCACAGTATTATAATATCATTATAAATTAACCGTGCTAGTTTTATTGGGGTTAAAATAATGGAAGGCGTGCTAAATAAACCTTTCAAAAAGGACTATCAGAACTTGAATGTCACTAATGCTAACAATGTTATCCTGCAACTCTTAGGTCATTGTTCAGGTGTGGCTAATGATTATTTCTGGAAGGCGTTGGTTGAAAAGTATATATTTGAATCTATAAATAAGAAGTTGCAAGACCACATTATAGAAGATTGTAAATAAATGCTATACTTTCAATAAATTACTTGTGTAAAAATATCATGATGCAGTAGTATCCATGGTGCAGTGTATTTATGCATCTGTGATAAATATTTGTTGCAAAGTATTGTTCAAACCCACAGAAGTCTATTTTAAATTCAATGAAGATGCCAAATCTTCCAAAGATACCGGATATATCAAACTGACTGTTACAGGAAATTTGTACAAAATCATGTCTTGAATGTTTCCATTTGATGAGGTGGTGTAACTGTAAAAACAATCTTGAGGTTTGGATATTTGTTCTACTGTAAACATCATATAACTTGGCTTTATAATGCTTGTACATGACACAGCAAGACAGTTTAGAATAATATACTTTAACAGGGTTAATAATGAGAAAACCAAAATCTGAAACTGTATGATTTTGCAAACAAAACTATTACTGTTACTATTAGTTACTACAAACTACTGCCTAGGCATACTGGAGTAAAAACATAGTCTAGAGGCCTAGTGTTCTGTCAGAAAACTATTAAGTGTGAAGTTTCTCAAAATAGCAAAAGATACTTAAGAAAAAAGGTAGCCTACTTGAAAATATTTACTTCAACGCTTTACACGAATAAATGTACTTGGTTACTTTTCATGTCAAACAAATCACTTTCGTTTGACTGAAAACGGACTTTGGCGTGTCATGTACGCACAAAACTACAACTCCCAGCATGCTCGTTTCCGTATTGGCTGCACTCCAGCCAATCAGAAGCCTTGTGGATTTATGGTGGCTATGTGCGGCACGGGGCCAGCACGTCTAGTCAGCTCAAAGTGCCACGACTTCACAGCAGACCAGGAATTCGCCAGCAGAGTGAGAGGAAGAGTACGGGAAAAAAAAACCCAAGTCAACCTGATAGCTGGATAAATAGGTAGCTTTGCACAGAAGTCACTTCATCTAATAGTCAACGCTTTTGCCCTCTCTCCGTTCCCTTTGAAGCAAGCAGACGTAGCTACATCACCAGCGAGGTTAGTGTGGGAATCTTGGAATCTTTATATTTATTGAGCCAGCGCCAGCTAGCTTGGAGAGCTATCTACTGCTTACTCCAGAGCTAACTACTAGCTCAGAAAAACAGACAGTTAAAGTTATCCAAAATTATTGTAGATTTTCTTTGTTACTAGCCATTTTGTTCACAATCGTATCTATCCAATCTGCGTCTGGAGCGCAGTTTTGTAACGTAACGTTAAACTCACTCTTTAAGACGAACAGCAGCCAAGTTCATTGATTCATAGTATTAGCTACAATGCTATCTTGCAAGTAATGATAAAAAGCATATCGCACAAGAAAATTGCAGGATTAAACACTTTTTCGATGTTTAAATACTTCTTTGAATGAAAACTATGTATGGTGTCTTTAATATCTTAGAGCTAAAGCCTAAGATCAGTTGTGTTCTCAGTATAATCATTTGTGTATTAGTTTGATGTTAAATAATTTGGGAAGTACTCTGATTTCAATGCATTTGTATTGAATGGAAAGGTGGGTGTATGTGAATTATTATTTCTTATTCTTACAGTATTTCTAACAAAAGACGAGTAGTAAGTCTCGAAATAAAAGAAAATATGTATTTGAATACATTAGTTTACATTCATAGCTGAATAAAGTTAGTAGACTTGCATTTTAGACGTCAGACCTATATAGTTTGTACCAATTACATCCTAGTTAGTTTCACAATGTAGTCCTTTGTCTTATGGATCTTGAGATGCACCCATTCTCAGAAGAAGTCAGCCTAAGTGAGTTTTCTTCTTTTTCACTTCAGTGTGAGTGGAAATGTGGCGCAGGAGCCAGTACAAACTCTTCTAGCTTTTAGACCCTGCCATGAACAAGGATTCTGGACTCTGTTTCCATTATACTAAAGTAGTTCAGTTTCCTCTACCGAACCATAATGTTGATGTGATTTATTGTCTTTGTTTTGCAGTTGTTTATTTTCTGATAGGATAACATGTAACATAAATAAAGATATAACTGATAGTGTGCTGCAAGAATAAGCCAAAGAATGTGCTTTAGTGTCACCGAGCTGCCATCTACTCTCAGCCAACTTGTTCTCCCCTGCAGGCTAAACAAATTGTGACAGGAGCCTTAAAGGCATGGTTGAAAGAGCCTTTAGGTTGTTCAGCATTTACTGTATCACGGTCCTTTCATGACAATAGCACTTTGTGTAAAATAAACCAGGCCTCAGTAAAACCACCCAGCATGGAAATCTCTGGGTGCAGTTTAGTGCTTTGGACATTTTTAATCCCCGCTCTTATAACGTTTTTCCAATACCTCAACCTGAAGAATGTATTCTTTTTTTTTTTTTTTTTTACAGAACAGGAATTTAACACTAGTTGAAAGCCAACTACTGGAAATGTTGGCAGTTACTTGTAACCTTGTGTACCTTACCTACATTTGTCTGCACTGCTTTTTCCTGTATGGTTTGGATTTATTTTTCTGTATTAAATTCATATGTAGCTTAATGTCGTTTTACTCGTGCACTTAACTCCGTAATAGCTGTTATGATTTCAGTCAAATGTTAAAAGGTGACAAGAGTTGTTTTTTTGTAATGGCTGTACTTGGTTGTAAGCTCACACAACTTTCATATCCTATTGTTGATGGTTGAATATGAATTATAGTGGCAAAATGACCAGAAACAGCAGATCTGATCTTTGTATATGTAAATAAAATAACCATAACTAATTGTGTTTCCAAAAATAGGCTTGTATTTCTGGTTGTATATTGCTACCAGAATGGGTGTTTTTTTTTCTGCTGCTGTGTAAAATTGCTTATTCATTCATAGCTGCTTTATTCTAGTTCATCTTGTGCCACCTTACAACAGCAGTGTTTGTACTGCATCAGGAAACTCAGTGGTACACTTAAAAATTAAGCAATTTTTGAGATTTAACTTTCTCTCTCTCTCTCATTTTCTACACTGCTTAGTCCCGAATGGGCTCGTGGGGGAGCTGGAGCTCACCCCAGCCGGTGAGATTTAACTCTAAGGGCAAATTTGATCAGTATGACCAACATGTTGTACCCAAGGTTGGAGGCTATTTGACACAGAGGATTGGCCAGCTGCTCTTTGCCACACACTTTGCTGATAAGATTTGCTGACCTGCCTCATGTCACCTCAAGGCAGCTCAAGGCAAACGTTTTTGGTATTAACAGTGACACCTTGAGGCTGTTCTCCATAATGCATTCATCACAATTCAGTTATCACCACCTCCTCTGGTAACACAGCTCCTATCTGTTTCAGTTTGCATAGATGCAGTTTTGGCTCACCTATGAAATGCTTTATGAACTGTCTTCCTTCATAGAAATCCTTTGCCTACAGTGTGCTGTTTCTTTTAGAAAAATAATATTTACTTGTTAACTGTGTTGACAAGTCTGCCACTCTCTTTTTAGGTTAACTGAAATTGAACAATGGATATCTATGACCCTCAGACCCTTGGGATAATGGTGTTTGGTGGATTCATGGTGATCTCTGCTGTTGGGATTGTTCTTGTCTCTACCTTCTCCATGAAGGAAACCTCTTATGAAGAGGCCCTGGCTAAACAACGCAGAGAGTTGGGTAACATGCAGTCTTCTCGCTCTGAGAAAAAGAAGAAGGACAAGGTAGCTGAGAAGAAGAGCCGTGGAAAGAAGAAAGAGGAAAAGCCCAATGGAAACATCCCAGAGCAGGAAAAAACTGAAAATGCTGCTGAAGCCGAAACCATCATTGAACCTGCCAGTGCCCCAGGTGTAGCTACTGCTCCTCCTCCTCCTCTTCCTCCTCCTGTCCCTGAACATGTCCCTGCTTTTGAGGTTAAACCAGCTTCAACTCCAGCGCCACCAGACACACAAACCAAAGCTGCTGCTAAAGTAAGCCCTGCTCTCACTGAGCCCTCCCCTGCACCTTCACCTAAAGAGAAAAAAAAGAAGAAGTTGGCTAAGTCCGAACTAGCTTCTACCCAAGCAGCTCCACTCGTATCTGCCCCTGAACCAGTCAAGTCCTCTGCAGTCCCTGCATCAACCCAGGCCCCTGTGTCTGCTCCAGCTA